AAAGGGCTTGCAGACCAGCCCCTAGCTAGCTCCCGGGACTGACGTCATTAGGGACGGGCCAGCGGGGGCTGCATGTAGCAATAGAGCATCTGAGGAGACAACAGCGAAGCCAATTGCCCAGCATTGACCCTTAGGGGCATGTCTGCACCTGCCACGTACGGCAGAAAGGATGCCTGCTGTGTGCCAAGCCCAGGGCAGCGTCTGCCCTGCCACGGACGGCAGAAAGGATCCCTGCTGCGGGCCAAGCCCATGGCAGCGTCTGCCCCGCCACGTACGGCAGAAAGGATGCCTGCTGTGTGCCAAGCCCAGGGCAGCGTCTGCCCTGCCACGGACGGCAGAAAGGATCCCTGCTGCGGGCCAAGCCCATGGCAGCGTCTGCCCCGCCACGTACGGCAGAAAGGATGCCTGCTGTGTGCCAAGCCCAGGGCAGCGTCTGCCCTGCCACGGACGGCAGAAAGGATCCCTGCTGCGGGCCAAGCCCATGGCAGCGTCTGCCCCGCCACGTACGGCAGAAAGGATGCCTGCTGTGTGCCAAGCCCAGGGCAGCGTCTGCCCTGCCACGGACGGCAGAAAGGATCCCTGCTGCGGGCCAAGCCCATGGCAGCGTCTGCCCCGCCACGTACGGCAGAAAGGATGCCTGCTGTGTGCCAAGCCCAGGGCAGCGTCTGCCCTGCCACGGACGGCAGAAAGGATCCCTGCTGCGGGCCAAGCCCATGGCAGCGTCTGCCCCGCCACGTACGGCAGAAAGGATGCCTGCTGTGTGCCAAGCCCAGGGCAGCGTCTGCCCTGCCACGGACGGCAGAAAGGATCCCTGCTGCGGGCCAAGCCCATGGCAGCGTCTGCCCCGCCACGTACGGCAGAAAGGATGCCTGCTGTGTGCCAAGCCCAGGGCAGCGTCTGCCCTGCCACGGACGGCAGAAAGGATCCCTGCTGCGGGCCAAGCCCATGGCAGCGTCTGCCCCGCCACGTACGGCAGAAAGGATGCCTGCTGTGTGCCAAGCCCAGGGCAGCGTCTGCCCTGCCACGGACGGCAGAAAGGATCCCTGCTGCGGGCCAAGCCCATGGCAGCGTCTGCCCCGCCACGTACGGCAGAAAGGATGCCTGCTGTGTGCCAAGCCCAGGGCAGCGTCTGCCCTGCCACGGACGGCAGAAAGGATCCCTGCTGCGGGCCAAGCCCATGGCAGCGTCTGCCCCGCCACGTACGGCAGAAAGGATGCCTGCTGTGTGCCAAGCCCAGGGCAGCGTCTGCCCTGCCACGGACGGCAGAAAGGATCCCTGCTGCGGGCCAAGCCCATGGCAGCGTCTGCCCCGCCACGTACGGCAGAAAGGATGCCTGCTGTGTGCCAAGCCCAGGGCAGCGTCTGCCCTGCCACGGACGGCAGAAAGGATCCCTGCTGCGGGCCAAGCCCATGGCAGCGTCTGCCCCGCCACGTACGGCAGAAAGGATGCCTGCTGTGTGCCAAGCCCAGGGCAGCGTCTGCCCTGCCACGGACGGCAGAAAGGATCCCTGCTGCGGGCCAAGCCCATGGCAGCGTCTGGACTTGCCAAGGACGTTTTGCGCTGACATTCAGCAGTTTCACAAGAGGCGTAAGGCGCTTACTGGTGATGCTTTGGTGGTGCCGCGCCTCCACAGGATATCCCAGTGCCCAGGGGACCACTGCAGCCAGCCGCTCTGCTGCTCCCACACCAGGTAAACAGACGTCTGCCCTCCCCCTGTAAAGCCTGGGGAACTTTGAAACTCCCTGCCGTTTTCTTGGTAAAGGCTCAAGTCTCCCCTGGCCAGGTGACAATGCCTGGGCCCTGCTTGGAGCAATGCTGAGCTACTGGAGCTGTGTTTGGAGAGTGGGGACTAGGCAGGAACTCGGGATACCCCACGATTCACCACTCCCTCCCCCTCCCCCTCCCCCTCCCGAGCCTGTCGCTGTGGGATGATCTCATGCCTCTAGGCAGGGCTGCACTGGGAGGCACCCCCTGGCTCCCCAGACCGCTTTGAGGAGCAGCGGTTGCTGTTTGGGGTTCTCTGCTTGGGGGGCCCCTGCTGGGGCTCTCGTCTCGACCCTGGGACCTGCTCCCTGGAACCTGGTTTTCATTAGTTGTCCCCCATATTCACGTGGCACCTGGGTGTCGTGGTCCCTGAGAGGCTGGGGGAGGGGCCAGGGGCGGATGAGAGTTCGGTGGGGCCCAGGGCAGCTCAATTTCGTGGGGCCCCTCCCACCCCTCACCGGGCGTCTCCTCTCTCACCTGTGTTGCTCGGCGTTTCAGCACGCCACACATGCGCTCCTCCAGCGTGCCGCGCCGGGGAATTTATCCCACCGGGCCAGTACACC